GGATTTGAGCCTTGACGCTGAGCCTCTGCCGCCTGGACGCCCGATTCTGCAGCAAGTGAGTCATGCATGGTGTGGAGGCTGGGAGACGAAAGACACCCTCAGGGCAGGAGAAAAAATTCGGTTAGTGCAGGGGTGGGTGGGTGGGAGATAAACATGCTGATTGAAACGTCAACGTGAGTGAGCTCATTCACCGAGCACCTTGCCAGGGTCCCACCAATGAGTCAGGAATGAGCCTATCACTCAGACTAGAAACTAGGACTGAAAGAGGCTCTCTGGCCTTGGCAGTGAGGGCGTCACAGTGTCTGAGAGCGGCCACCTCTACAGGGGTCCCCTGAGGGCCAGAAGTTAGTGCCTGGGCAAGGGGTGGTAAAATGCTCTCACCTCTGGGTCTGGGTGTAGCCTCCTCTTAGACAGGCCTGGAGTGGACAGGGCTGGTGCCCTGGGAGTGAGCTGGCCCTGGCTGGACAGAAACCAGAGTTTTGTGAATGTCAAGAGGATGCTGTGAGGCAAATGGAAGAAAAGGACACTCTTGGGTGCTTGTTGAGGTCTCCCTAAATCAGGAGGAAGCTGAGAAACCAGGCCTGGAGATGGGCAGGGAGTGAGAGGAAGCCAGAACATCCCTGTCAGGGTATTGTGGCCAGAGCAGGGAAGGGTGGAGCAGGCCCTCCTGCTGTCCCTGTGGGCCCTGAGATGCCCGCTCCAGAGTCAGCATCCCAGGAGCAGGCATCAGATGGGAGAGCTCAGGCTGCCACCTCCACCCCAGCTGCGTCTGGGGTGCGGCAAGGGGAGACTGATGCTTTCACTTCCGCCCTGGGAGGTGGGTGGCTGGGTTTCGCAGATCTAGAGGGGGATTTGGGGTGATACCCATGAAAAGAGTGGATTCTGAGCCGCCAGAAAATGACAAATGGCTACTACTGCCCACAGGAGCACTTTCCTGCCTCTGGCATTTTCTTCTCACCCTTCCTTTTCCCCTTCAGCACATGTGAGTTGTAACAAACAAGCTGGGTTCCCAGTCAGAGGCCCCACTGCCTCACCAGCTGCCTAGGAAAGGACAGGAGTGTGATGAGAGAGGCTGCACACCCTGGATGGTGGCCCCATCCATGCCCAGCGTCCTGAGCGTGTCCTTCATGGCTGCAGTGGCATCTGGGTTAGGCCATCCACTATCCTTTGCCCACTCTCATATTCCACTTTGGCTTCTAGGGGTGGGCAGGGGCCCCAGACGATCACCTTTCCATAACCCTGGCAGAGTGATTGACCTGCAAAGGGGTCCCTGGTCCAGTTCTAGCCAAGACATTCCCCATCAGCCTCTGCTCTTCCTTTCAAAGTTGGCCCCAACAGGAGGGGAGTGCGAGGTGCAGCAGCCATCTTGCTGCTACACTGGGGAGTCCAGAGCTTCTGAGGTTCCCCACGCCCAGCCTGAGATGGAAACTGGCCCAACAGCACCGAAGAGAGGGAGAAGCTGGGTCCTGAAAACCCCATTTGAGTCCTGGATCCAGCTGTGCCTGAAGACCACCCTGGGGCTTTTTAATTACGCAAGCCAACACGCTTCCTTTTTTGCATAAGCCATTTGGAAAGGGTTTTCTGTCATTCCCAAACAAAAATGACTTGGCCAAGAAATACAGTGGGGCGGAAAGGATGAGGGAAAGAAGCTCTCAGGGCTCCCAAAGGCTCAAACGAGAGGCAGGAGTGTTTGTATGTGCATACACATGTGCAAAAAACAATTTTTTTTTAAACTGGGGGCTGGGTGCGGTGGCTCACGCCTGTAATCCTAGCACTTTGGGAAGCCGAGGCGGGCAGATCACCTGAGGTCAGGAGTTCAAGACTAGCCTGGCCAACATGGCAAAACTTCATCTCTACTAAAAATACAAAAAGTAGCGGGGCATGGTGGCTGTACGGGTGGGATGCCTGTAATCCCAGCTACTCAGGAGGCTGAGGCAGGAGAATCGCTCGAACTCAGGAGGCAGAGATTGCAGTGAGCCAGCGTCCTTCCTGCATCGACACACACAGACACCGCGATCACGCACTCCAGCCTGGGCGACAGAGCAAGACTCTGTCTCAAAAAATAAATGTATACATAAAATAAAATAATAAAAACAACAAAATTTGGCCCTACTCTGCTAACGGAACCTAGAGAAGGAGGTTTGCATTCTGCTTAAGCCAGAACCTTAGAGCAAGAAGCTGCATCTTGGGAGACTCCTATGGTCATGGGGACAAGAACTGAAGACTCTTCCTCAAGGGAGATGTGAAAGTCAGGGGGTCTCAGGCAGAGCCTCCTGTTCTGGCTGCCCACTGTCATTGGGAGTCCCTCCTTTTCCAGCCCTGGTTCTTCTACTAATACGAGAGCTGCTTCTTTCCGCTGGCACATAGCCTCATCTTTCAAATGCAACTCAGCTTTCAAAATCAACAAACAATACTGTGATGACCTGGTATTCCTGCCAGCTCTGTCCCTGCAGATCCTCGCCCCGCCCCCGCCTTTCCCTGCCTGGTCTCCTCAGTCTGAGAACAGAGCCCACCCTCTCTCTGAGATTGTTTTCCTTCCCTCTGTGACCTCTGTCCACCCCCGCTGCTCTGTTGAAACCACTGTGCCTACAGCCCCAGACACGGCTGGCAGAATCCCCTGAGGGGGTCATCCTCTCTGGTGTCCACTCAGTTCTGCCCCCTCACCTGCCAGCTTGCCCATCTCCAAAACCAGTCCACATCCACCACCCGGGAAACACGCACTCAGATCCGCCCAGAACACCCCACATGGCCTTGTGGCTGACCTTCCGCCCTTTTGCCCATCTGGGCCCTTGGTCCTGCAGTCTCTCTCTCTGACCTCGTCTTAGAGGGCATGAGCCGTCCCATGAGCCCACTCCACCCACGTTACTCAGCTCGCTCAGATGGAAGGGGTCCTGATCCAGAGTGAGTGCTGGAGGAGCTGGGTTTTCTCTGGGCCACCGCCCCTTCCACACACCCAGTCCCTGCACACACGGGCTCGTTCATTCACAAATCCCCGCGCTCACACCCACAGGTGTCTCCCTGCGCACACATCCGCCCGCTTCCTTCCTGCATCGACACACACACACACACACACACACACACACACACACACACACACTCCCACGGCTTCCCCTTCCTGCAGACATGCGCCCACACATCCCTAACACGGGATGGGAGGAAATTTTGTCTTCTGCAAGGAGTTTTTATCCTCAGGTGGGCGGGGTGGGGGGGATTAAGTATAGGCTATTTGCAAGTCTGAGGGAATTTACTTTGGCATATCATGTAATTCTAGAGAGAGGCAGGAAGTCGAAAGGGGAAAAGGTGGGGGCCAGAGAAACGAGGGAGGGGCCCCAGTAAATCACTGGTCCACCTTGCCATTCAGCCAGCACCTGGCGGCAGGGCCTGAAGACCCACTGGCTGCTTCGGTAGCTTTCCAGGTGCCTCACGAACATACTCAGAACGCTGGAAAACATTTCTTTGATCAATGTTTATTTCTGTCTTTGAATTCTATTTGCTGAGTTTGAGTAAATGATTATATATCATAATGCTTACTATTTAGTTGTTAGATGTAGACCTTTGTCAAATACCTCACTAAAAGCTCCACCTACATTAATTTACAGCATTAATTTAAATCTTCGGAGCCCTATGGGTAGATATTTATATAATCCCCATTACACAGATGAGGATACTGAGGCTCCAAAGTGCCCAAGGTCGTAAATTGAAGGTGGCAGAACTGCAGGTTTGAGTTCAAGTCTGCAGACAGTTCAGCCCTAATCTCAACCATCAGGATGTAATTAATGCCTTATGCTTTAGAAATTCCCATAGATCTGGAAATCTAAGATGGCTACAACATAACTTAGCAGTTATTTGGGAAAATAACATTGTCTGGTATGCATATGTTAACACTTTGTTGTTCTGAGCCTTGCTTGTAAAATCCAGTTAATGTGAGCCTCCCAAGGCTAGAAACAGATCGGATTTATCCTTCCACCCAGGTATTCTGCAGAACATCGCTTGGCCAATAGGAGGTGCCCAGCCAATGTTGAAAGTAAATTAAATGAAGTGAAATTCAGGTTTTTGCTCTAGATGTGTGCCAAATAAGCTCATTAAGGGACTGGCAACAACAAAATTAACATTGAGTGATAAGTCCTTTAGAGGCCAAGAGGCCTGGCCGCTCTTCCTAGCTCTGTAGCGGCTGTTAGCAAACTTGCAAAACCCAAACGTGGTGTGAGGAAGGCCACATGCGGAATTCACACGTGAGGCGGCACAGGTTGTGACCTGGAGAGCCATATTCCAGATTCTGAACACCCATCTCTCCCTTGGTCTGCGTTTCTCACAGGCCTGAGTCCCGCACACACAAACTTGTGTTTCTTACACACTCATAGGAAAAACGTGCCTTGCACGCTTGACAACATGCTGCAGAGGAGGACGTGCAGTCTGGATGTGAATGTGGGTCTAAGCTGCAGCAGGAGTCTTCTTGTCTGCGAGACGCGCCTGGCATTCACTGAGCAGGGCTGGCGTGAGCATGAGTGCCGGTCCACGTGAAGCGCTTAGCACGGAGCCTGGCACCGGGGGCGCTGGGGAAGACAGTTGATCCCAACCACTTTCTTGCACATTTCTGACACGGCTGCTGATTCCTGCCAGGCAGGCCCCGGGCGCCTGGGATTCAGCAAGACTTCCTCATCGCCTTTTTAAACCTGCTCTGCTCAAGCCTCAGCTCTTGGTGATTTCCTGAAGATGCTGCCACCGGGGAAGAGCCTCCCAATCCTCAAATCCCGAGCCCATGCCTTTCATCCCTGCCAGGTTTCCATTTCCAGTTTGCTCCTAACCTGGCCCTTCTCCCCTGCCCCGGCCCCCTGGGACGTGTGAAAGAGAGCCAGACAATAGTAAACGGAATTCAGTCACATACGGAAAAAAAAAAAAAAAAGAAAAAAAAAAAGATTATGAAAATGAAAAGTAAATAAATATGGATGTTGAGGACCTAATTCTGATAAGCGGATTTTCAAAATTAGCCATTTGCAAGAGTAGATTAAATGCATTTAATGTGGTGGGTGGAAGGAAGTCGATTAAGATGCACAGCAGACCCATTTCAGTAGATTCCGGGGAGCAGGCCTTGCAGGCCCCCTTCGCGCTGCGCATGTTTGCCGGGATAAACGCTGAATGCCTCTTAAGCGCACTAATTTGCTGTTGTCGTGCTGGTAAACAGGCCTCCTGGAAAGGGGCCACTCGCCGCTTCTGTACCCAAGGCGGACGGCGGAGCGGGGAGGGGCCCCCGCCGGGCTGGGGCGGGAGGCCAGAGGCCAGCCTCGGGGGTGCGGGGGCTCCGTTCGCGGTCTGCAGGGAGGCTGAGAAGCGCCAAGGACAAAGGAATGGCACTGGCTTTCCCCTCACCTTCCCCAGCCGGCCGCCCCCCACCCGGCCCTCTGCAGAGAGAATTCTGGTCCCAGAATACCTTGCAGCTCCTTCCATGGCAACGGCCGCCTCCCTCCCGCACCGTTTCGCCTCTTTCCTTCCTTCCCGCGCCTTCTCCCCGCAGCCCACACCAGAACCAGGCCTCCCGAGGGCTCGGCGCACCCGCATCCCGCATCCCCGGAGCAGGGACGACGGCCAGTCCTTCCCCCCGGAGGAGGGGCAAGCAGGCGCTCCCAACGCGCACGCCAGCCACACCTGCAAGCGGGAGAGAACCAGATCCCCAAACATCCCTGCCCTGTCCTTCTCCGGGGCACCCACCACACTGGGGGCCTTAGAGCCCTGAAAAGCCCGGCTGTGTTTTAGGTTTGAGGAAACAGATGAACTGTGTTACCGTGGCCCCGTGTTAGGGGATGGCGGGGGTGGGGGGTGGGGGTCGGGGGCGGTGCAGAGAGAAGCCAGTGATCTAAATAAACACCTCCTGACGTCTTTGAATGGATCCCAGCCAACGATCTGAAGTTGCATCCAGGCAGTTCCTAGGACCTGACGCTCCAAGTCACCATGTGACCCTAATGTCTCAGCCATGGTGCGTCTGTCATGGGGTGAGGACACAGACAGCAGTTACCTGGCACCAACCCTGGTGCAAGCGCTGTGCTTCGTTACTCCATTTAATTCTCCCAGCTGGGAGGAGCTGCCCATCACACTTAGGATAAGCTCCATAGGCCCTGCAAGATCTGCCGGGCTGCCTCTCTGAACTCACCCCCTCCCTCACCCCCACCACTCCTCCCTGGGGACGCTCCAGCACAGCAGCCTTCTTTCTGTCCCCTTAGTACTCTGCATCCATTCCTGGCCCAGGACCTTTGCCCTTGCTGTTCTCTGTGCCCAGGACACTCTGCCACTATTTACACCATGTCGGTAACTTGGCATTGGGGTCTTTAAATTGCCTTGGCAACAGTTATCACCGTTTGTTTCACTGGTTTGTTTATGAGTTTGTTGTCTGCATCCTGACACCTTGAAAACAGGGTCCTTGCTTGTCTGGAAGAGCTGTGTCCCAGCACTGAGAATGGATCATACAGGTGTGATGGCGTGAAGCCAGGTCTAGAGCCCTTGTGTTAGGGGTGCAGAGCCCTTTTCACCCCAACCAATGCCACCACCTGGTGCTTGATGACCCCATGCACCAGGGCGAGGCAGGGACAAGTTCCCTTGTGTAACAGCTTCTGTCAGAGCTGCTCTCAGGGAGCCATAAGGCAAGGTGCCTTCTACTCCCTTGGAAGCAAGGCTCAAAGGGGAGGTGGGTTTTACTTCTCTCCCATTTCACAGATGAGGCAGCTGAGGCATCCAAACTCCCACAGCTTTAAGTGGCAGAATGGGACTCAAGCCCAGACAGTCTGGGGTAGGGGAGGAGGAAGTGAGGGGGAAGCATGACATCTCAGTCTAAGGGAGTTGTTCTCGAATGTTTGGAAGCAAGAGCATCGATCGCTGCAGTCAGTTTTTGAAAGGTCATCTTCATGGCCCTGCCATGAAGTGAGCGATGCTCACTTGGCCGGACGGACGCCGCCCAGCGCCTAGAGTCTGCAGGTTTGACAAGCATATGCCTAGGTGCTTCTGATGCAGGAGCTGCAGGACCACCCACTCTTTGATTGCAACCGGGAGAGGAGGTGGTTATCCTGGCCAAGGACCAGAGGAGCCACCTCTGTAATGTTCCCTCCAAGATCACCATTCCCTCCTCCGCCCCCAGTCTCCAACCCACTTCCCTCGCAGTCTTCTGTTCAAAGGAGAAGGCTTCTTGCAGGCGGCTCCTCAGGAGACCCCAGTGCCGCTCAGGGCTCTGCTATGGAAGGACTTCCTTCAAAAAGTCTGGGCCCCTTCTTCTGCCACACCCTGTCTCATCTTAGGTGGGTGTGAGGCCTGGCCAGGACCCCAGAGCCTAGCTGCGGGGGGTGGGGGCTTAGCAGGTGAATGAACCAGGTTGTGAAGGCATCTTTGCCTTCTCATACAAGATGTAGTCCCTAGAAAGGATGCTGTCCTGTATGCGGGGCTTCACCAGCCGGCTGCAAGGCTGCTCCTGAAATGAGGCCTGGGCTGGGGGGCAGCGGTGGCCACAGCCACTACGCTCTGCCTGGATGTGCAGCTGCTTGCCTGTTTACTTGATGGTCATGTTTCTCACAAGAGAGGGGCAGGGGCAGGCAGAAGCACAGCTTTGGAAATTTTAAATGCAGTGAACCCTTCTTGAGCAGTAACCTCATGCCAGGCTCTAGGCCAAGCACTGGACAAGGGTCCTCTTATCCGCACAGAGCACCAGAAGGTGACCCCAGAGTCTCTCATCCCGCCTTCCCCGAGGTCCCCCAGGCCTGTGGAAATGAGGCCCAGAAGCCGCACGGCGAGGCAGGTTTGACTTTGCTGCTATGGAAGATGCGTGCTGGGTCATAGCCAGGTGCTGGTTGGAGCAGCACTGACAACCACCCGGGGCACTTGGTGGGGCAAGCCAGCTGCTAAAATATTAAATCGCTTCCATCCCAGGTGGTGAGTAGCTGCTGCCTCTGGCCCCGGAGGCCTCTACTCCTCTGTCCTGGCCACCTCGCCCCTAACCCCAGCCTCCAGGGCCTCTAGGGCCTCCAGGACCTGCCCTATCCAGTGGCTGGTCTGGCCACAGCCCTGCTGACTCAGCGCCCTGGCACCTCGGGTTGTTAAATATTTTAACTGTCGCCCTAGGGTTCAGGAGAGGATTTGGTACAAATATGACCTCAAGTCCTCCCTAAGCTATGATGGGAGCCTCAGACTATCACAGATGAGGACCCAGATCTGCCCAGAAATGATCATGTCCCTGAGCCTGAGCTTCCCTCTCCATTAAGAGCAGCAACCAAGGTCCATTCATCCTACCTGCCTCACAGCACTGTCCATCCAGGGTCCTCCAGGTGTGCTTTGCATGTGTGAGCGCTGAGTCTCCCGGGCTACAGAGCCCTGGGTCTCCTGTGGGCTGGAACTAGCTTGTGGCCCCACCCGGTACCTCTCTTTCCGGACGACCAATATTTTAGAATTAGTCTTCAGTTTTGAACAAGAGCAAAACTCATTAGACTTTTTCATAGGGGACTTGTTTCCATCGGTGTTTGCCAAACCCCAGCCCGGGGTCTCTGCCGTTCATTATTTGTTTTTTTGTTTTTTTTTTCTTCGTTGGTGATGAACTGTTTTCCAAACTCAGTTGCCCATGTTGGCGGGAAGCTTGGGCCTCCCACGCAGTGCTCAAACCGGCCTTCTCGGCTGGCACGTGGGGAGAGGGGAGCTGTGGGCCCCATTCCAGATGGCTGGGGAGCCCCTGCGGGATGCAGGAGAGGAGGCACAGAGTGCGGAGGTAAACACAGGCTGGGCCGATCGCCCGTGGCAACCTCCCCCCAAGGAGGGAGATGGCTGAAGAAATAGGAAAATAGTATCGAACCAAGCACATGGCGGCGGAAGTTGTCGCCCAGCTGGGGTTTGCTGTTACCCTTCCCCCAACTCTGGGAGGAAGGGGCAGGGGAAAATTCCAGAATCTAACAGGACAGGGAGGTTGGCAGAAGGATCTGTGAGGCTAACAAGTGCAAACACGGTCAGGAGGGTCAGGTCTGTGGTTAGGAAAAAGGAGAGAGTGGTTGAGAGCAGGCACCGGGGACTGCGGTCCATCCACCCCTTGCAGGCCACCCCCGCCCACACCAGCAGCACCTGCTGGGTAAACGAGGGCCCAGGCCTGTTCCAGACACGGGGAGCTTCCTTCCTGCGAGAACATCTTTTTGTCCTTGAGCAGGTGGTGATAGATAGAGAAACCAGCTCAGAGAAGGGAGGTAAGTTGCCCAGGGTCACCGGGAGTATTAATATCATAATTGAGAATAACAACTAGGTCTCCTATTTACTAGATAAAATAGCACCAGGAGATGTACTGAGAGAGATAAGAAAATAGAATTTGAAATCATGTATTATTTCTCTTCAAATGTAGTTGGTGTTAGGTTTTTTTTCCTCCTCTCCCCAAGAGATGCTATAACCACTACTGTCTTTTCCCCATCCATGCACGGATGCTGAGACCCTGTGTTTTGCCTGGATTTCATTTCCTCCTGCCTGCCAGGGAAGCTTCTCTGTGTAGGATCCAGGGGAAGGTTGTAGGGAATCACCAGAGGTGGAGCCAGTAGGGCCACTAAGTTCACTCTGGAGCCACCCCAGTAGGATAGATGTGCACCTGGGACCTGACAGCCACCATGTGCTCCCCCTTGAATCTGGAGCAGCTGTTGACTCAGGCCAGCAGCTGGAGGTGGAGGTTCAAATCCCAGCTCTGCCTGTACTACAGTCCTGGAGCAGACTGCTTTACCTCTTTGAGTCTGAATTTTTCCTCTCTGTAAAAGCAGGCTACTCTCCTAAGGTTATTATGAAGATCAAATGCAACCGATGTGCTCGGATGCAGTAGGCGTGAATAGATGGCTGTGTTGTCGGAGACGCTGCTGTTGCACGCGACGGTTAAACTGGAAGGGTTTGTGAGGGCAACTTATGTGAGAACTTTCAAGAGCTATGAAATTAATTGGAGGGTGTTAACTGTAGAAATAAAGTAACAGAAGAAAATTACCTCTAAAGAATTAGAACAAAGCAATTATCTAGAAAGAAAATGATGTCAAGGAGGAGTAAGACATGGAAACCGCGGCGCGTGGAGACCCAGGAACGCGCAGACCATCAATCAGGGGCTGAGCCTGGGGAGCTCCAGGGGGCCCTCGGGGATACCCTCACACCCTCACCATGGGGAGATGGGAAACTAAGGTTGGCAAGCAGATAGAGACCAGGGCCACACAGTTAAGACCTGACTCCCAAGCAGTGAGGCAGACACAAGGTGACAAGCTGTCCTATTAGATGTGGATTCTAGTCCCCGTTCTACTCTTCGTGGGCTGTGTGACCCTAGATGCATTACTCAAAGAGACTGGAGACAACAAACTCTAAGATCCTTTTCCAGTCCCAAACCTAGGAATCCAAGCACTCTGGAATATCAGGGGCAGGGAACATGGGACAGGAGATCAGTGCCAGCTGGACCAGGAGGCACTGGAAAGAACTGAGAATAAAATAAAATCTTTTATCTGGATTCTATTTTAGCTGGAATCCCCCTCTGGGTGTTGGGTAAGTCCCTCTACTTCAGTGCTCTCACCTGAAGAAGTATCTGCAGAGGCAGCTGAGAGGGGTACGTTGGATGAGGTGTGTGGACACAGGCTCAGCGTTGCTGTGAGCCAGCGTCTACTGGCTTCCTAGGCCAGCCCTGCTCCGGGGCCTACTGCCCTCTGCGAGGCTTGGATGGAACTGACCTCCCTCCCCTCTTCACTTGGTCCTTTGGAGTGGGCCAAGACAATCAGCCTATCCCATCCTCCTGGCCACAGTGTT